CTTTCCTTGGGGTTTTGAATCTCCTTATTGTGCGTGTGGGTCTCATTGCACTGTCTAGAGTACACATCATGTAGTGTTTAGGAATCTTTTTCATTCAATGAGATTATTTTATAATGTACAAAATGTTTTTACACAATACATTAGCAATCTCAAACTTCCCACATGTATAAGCAAATTCTTCAGTTGATGGTCCGCATTGTACAAATTGTGAATCAACGGTCTTTTCCAACTCATAGGTAACAACATAGGTGGTCACCCCATCACAAGTGGTCACTTCATCATGCATACAATAGAAACAAGCTTTGAACTCACTTTAAAACTTGTCAAAAAATTTTCTAATGTATATATCTCCCACTCGAACTTCAATAGGATGTAAGTTAAGGGGATATGGCTTTGCTTTCATGGTTTGCATGTCTTCATTCATTTTTTGATCATGGTAAGATTATAATGTTCTAATATATTGGTTGACAAACTTAGATAATAGATTTTTAAAGTTCTCCTATCCATCAAAAAATGCATTAATGCTCTAACTTTGCTGATTCATCTCATTCCAACAAAAAATGTGTCTCTTAAATATATATCAACCCAACTACACTGTTGTTCATACATGTTTTCTAACCACTTCCAAGACTTCATTTCATTATGTTGCTTATCAATTAATGGCTCCACAAACTCATGCCTATATTTTTCCTTAAACTCTTTCCAAGCACTCTCGACTTTTTCAATGGTTTTACCGTTTTTCACCCACTTATAGTATTGTTCATCAAACCTAGGATTATATAATAATCCTAAGGAATGAAGGTACTCATCTACACAGAGCGAGATGTGCTAAATGCAAAAACTTATGACGTGTGCTCAGAAAGACCTTTTTAATAGCATTAGTGATTGCCGAGTCTTGATCAGTGATAATTGCACCCGATTCTTTACCCTCCATGCATGATAGTCATCATTTAAAGAACCATATAAAAGTAGCTCTTGTCTTATTTGATAAAAAGGCATATCTAAATAGTGTTGACTATCCATTATGGTTCACATCAATAAATAACAAAAATGGTAAAAGGAATTGATTGGTCTAATATGCCACATAAAAAATGACGATATCACCAAAATGTTGATACATTGTCCTCGCTCCCATCTGCCTAAAACATGCTCCTACAAACACCATCTTCATTAAGTTTTATGATATGGTAGAAATTTTCATGTGAGACAGTTATCTCCAAGAATTGTTGCATAATTGTTAGGCACTTGCGACCAATGTTGCTTTCTCTTTTCTTCCTCAAGTGCTTTCGACATTGTGGGAGAGTAATATTTGAGCTACCTTGGCCTATGACATGCAAGAGTCATACAATTTTTTACGGTCCACACCCTGCTACCTTGTTTTAATCCATTAACATTCTTGTCTTGTACCAGATGTTCTTTCGTTATGTGTAATTTCTTGTTTTATTTAGAGAGCTAAACAATTCATGGTTATGTTCACCAACAAAATGGGTGATGAGCCAAACTCCATTTTGAAAGTGCAAAGACATTCAAGTCTTACAACCCACTTGAACTAGACACTCCCATGATGGTTTATATTTAGGCACACAAGGTCTCTTCTTACTAGCCTTGAAGCAAACAAAATAGTTTTTAGTAACAAATCCATAAGAGGTGGATCTCTTTGATGATTCTATTTGAATACTAAACCCCATTCTCCTAGCATATTCATTGTAAAACTTACGAGTTTCTTTTTTTGAAGGAAATTGCATCCCTTCATAAGGCATTTCACTAGTAATGTCATCTTCACTTAACATTTCTTTACATTCTCTAGCTTCCACCATATCATGAGAGGCAATAGCACTTGCAATCTCTTGTTCATCATACTCATTCCTGTCTTGTACAACTAACAAATTATTGTTGTCAATATAAGTTATTAATTGTTGAACATTAATATCATGAGACATTCTTTGAGCATCTGGAGAACACTTATAAATCAAACAAAAATGATAATAATTAAATTATAGAAAAATATTGGAATTTAAAACATCAAGCATTTAAGATTTTTTTTTAGGAGCAATCACACAAACATGGTACCAATAAAAATTCAAATTGAATAGAAAAAACTCCAATAAGACCACTTTTTCAAGAAGAATTTCTTAATAAAACTAATATAGGGACTCATTCTTTCAACATGAAAATAGAGTATTTATGACATCTTATACTTATATTTCTAAGGAATTAATAAACCTCTTGCTGGTAAAACAATGTGATTAAAGTTCTATTTAAGAGAATCTTCAGATTGAAAAAGAGTTAATACATTTCCCAAATAGCCTTTAAAATTTAGCTATTGAAAAATGAAAACCTTTTAAAATTTATACTTAACCAAATAAAATTTGTGGCTATAAAAAGTAAAAAACTAAAGAGAAAACAAGATTAAACATGTATCTAATATATCAATTGCAGCTATGAAAGATGAACAAAAATTCATCAAATAAAATAGAAGGGCAATCAAACCTATGACAGATTGTAAGAATTGAAGGAAGAATAAGATGAAAGGAAATTGATGAAACTTCAGAGACAATGAACGAAATGCTTTCAACAATAAAAAAGAGTGAAATCATAGATGAAAAGAAATCACACATGAAGAAAGATAAATCATAGGGATTATGTTTAATGAAGGGGATGGAATAGGAGAAAGGGAGGTAAAACGTCAAATGGGGACAATGGAGGAAAACTAAAGAAAATAAGGATATGGGCTTGAATTTGAAATGAAATTATTTTAATAATCAATTTTGCCTAAAAATTAACAGTACCAACTACAAACCATTTTATTCATATGATAATAAGTCTACAACCTTTAAATGTATAGTTGGCTTGAGTTACTACTAATGCATTCTACTTACTAGGGCAATATATTTTTATACGTGACTATTTTTTACAAACAGATTTTAATTTCTTTCTCCCATCTTATTTTAGTCAAGTTGTTGGTCTTCATTGTGCCATAAGATATGTTTATGGTAGTTTTGAGGTAATTTTATCTTTCCTTTTTGCATTTTATATTTATTCTTTGATAAATTATTTCTTTGGTTTTGTATCCATATATTGGTTTTGTTTAATGACCGCAAGAAAAGAACTTTTGTCCTTAGTTTACTAACTGATAAAAAAGCTACTTTGAAGACATAATTTAAAGGAACTCTTAAGTAGGCAACAATTTGTTTGGTGAGAGATTCATTTTAGATCAATTGCTTGTGAATATATGAAGATATTGTTTTTCTTGATTCTATCATTTTTTTTTTTTTTGCTTTAAGTTTGGTTAATTTTGCTGCACTTATTTCATGTTTTATTAAGATAGAAGTTGAATTAGATTGACAAAGAATGAATTCCTTCCCTATTTATGTTTTTGCCTTCAAATTTTGTTTGATGTTAGTTTTATTGGCTTGACCATATTTTGTTTCTTGATATATATACTTGTGAAAGGTTTAAATTTGGTTGTAGTTTTTGTCTAATGTGTTATATGGATGCATTCATACCATGCAAAGTTTGTTATATAATTGTATTTGTAATTAAGTGAAACTAGTTTATTATAATCACAAATTAAGGATCCTATTAGAGACTGTTGTGGATAACATTGCAAAATTTGAAGTCTTACTTGACAGTTTTTTGTAATCAAAGTAATGAAATCTCCTTTCTTTAGGTGTTTTAGAAATCACTTCATTTTATTGTCCAAATAAAAACACTTATTATCTAATTAATGACAGTTTAATTAAATATTTTCATTGTACTTAGTTTCTAAATTATATTTTATCTATTCTGTTTATTGTATGTTGACCAAGGTTATCAATACAGTTTTGTACAACTGATATGGTTAGTATGTATTGGTTTTAGGCTTAATTTAAAATGGTACAAGATTAAATTTCATTTTGTTCAAATATGGGTCATTTCGGTCTTATTTTAGTATGCCAATTGGCACACCAAAATCTTACTGGTATGAGTTTTTTATCTAATTTTTTTCTTTAAAAAAAACAATATATTACTTACCAAATGATGTCATAAGAGCATCTTTATCTTTTAGAACAATACAATTATCAATATACTTATTTTTATCAACAAAATAACTATGTTTTTTTCAATATATATGCATAAATTATGACTGGAATCTTAAATTATTATTATTATTGACCAAATATGTTAGATGATTATCTAGTTAGATTTAAACTTAAAAGAATATATTGCACATCTAAATAAATGTTTAATATTTTTTAGTTGTGTTGGTTTTAAATTCAAATAAAGATATGAATCTTTATAAATAAATGCAGAATATGTTAGTATACTATTTTTTCTTTAATATTATAATATTAATATTTCATGGATTTGTCATTTAAATGTTTTTTAATTTCTAAAAAATTAGTTTTTTAAGTATTAAATTTTCTTAGACTCATTAAATATCATTTCATAGTTATATATTTAATTTATATAAAAAATATATATTTATAACTGTAAATCCAAAATGGTACATGAAAAATTTTGATATATGTTATGTATCATTTTAATAGCAAAACTGATTCACAAGCTGATATGGTATTAGGAACCTCAATCTTGACACTTCTTAAGTATTGGTATGGTAAAACTTGCATGTTATTTATAATTATACAAAAATATGAGTTTGACAGATTGCTTATTTAAAGAGGTAGCATTCATCACTCAAAAATGTATATATAATTAAGGATTCATGAGTTAAGATTTTAAACTTGCTTATGAATAATCCATTGAAGTAGAGTATAAAGGATCTTTTATTTCCACTTTTGTTTCTTAGTAACGAGCTTATACGGTGTCTTCTAAATTTCTCTCCGTTCCCATCTTTTATTCTAAACGAGTTACACAAGATTTTCAAAATCTCAATTTTTAGCAACCTTATTTGTAGGCTATTTACTATTTCCCATTATTATTGAGATTTGTGGATTATAGTTCATTATCTAGTCCACACTAAAGGCAAGTGTTATTGTTTTGTCCTTTATATATTGATCGTACAGTTGAGACATTTCTTAGGATGTTTGAGACTCAACTTTACAACATAACCCATGATGAAATTAAGGTAAAATAAAATGTCTGTTAGATATCAGTAATTCATACTTTTTTCATGTTTATGTAGGTTTCCTTAGAACTTCCATGGCAAGATCTATATTATGATAATAATTCACTACTAAATGTTTTCCCAAAAATCATTAACTACTTTGACAAGATTCGCCTCTCTTTTAGGCATGTATTTTGCATGTCGATGGCTCAATTCATTTGCATAAGTTTGTGTGGATGGAATTTAATGGTAAGCTAAGCTATTGAACTTGTGGTTATACAAAGTAATGTAAATGCATTGATTGACATGAAACTAAAGAAGCTTAATAATCTAAGTGAAGAATCTACATTTTATTAGGAAGAAATTGCTAGTGGAGCCTTAAAAATTGATCGGAAGGAGGTTGTGGTATGTAATCTTTTTGATCTTATTTTAACAATAAAGGAGGAATTGAACATCCATTCAATTGATTGGGACTTGTAAATGTAATAATGTTGAGGCATGAAAAACATATTTTGGTGTTGTTCCACTTTTTTTTCATTAATGCAATTTGCAAGGCACAAATCATTAAGATGAACAAAATCGCATTGTAATAGGTTACAACATTGAAGCAACTTAACAAGAATTGATAGATTTCTTCAATCAAGATATAAAAGATGGTGCACCACAAAAGAGGACTTTGAGCATATGTGTGATTAGGAAGGGACATTTGCTGGGATATAAAACTACAAAAATTGAAGTATCTCAATCAAGTGAAATTGATGATGTACTTAATATTAGAATATTGTTACCTCTTTATGGTGCATTCCAAGGAGGCTATAGTCTTTTGAAATTGTAATTCGAAAGGATGGCATAGAAATGGCACTGGAGCTTTAGCTTTTTACAGGGGGGAATATAAACTTAAATAAGTTTATGTGATTAATAAATCCTATTTTAAAAGCTTTTTATATGGTACTTGAGTAGTGCTAATTGAATTACAGTTTCAATCAATTAAATGTTGTCAAACGACTACTTTCTAACCTCCAAAGACAAATTATTTGTACATACATACATACATATATGTATGGTTGCCTACTCACAAATGTAGTGGTATTCTTAATTATATGTGCTTTTATTTTACTACTTTGGTATGGTATTTGTTTATACAACAATAAACAATTTTTTGTAATAATGCTACGTGTTCCTAATAAAATCTAATGACTATAACTTTTTTTTTTGTACAATTGGAAATTTAAAAAATAATCAATGGCCATGATTTGGGGTGATGCTTTGGTGCTATAGTAAATTTATGCCATATAATAAAAGTAAAGATTAAATAGACTTTAGGCTTGATAAAGTTTGAGTTCAGGTGAATTTTGCACATCAAATGGATAAAACTTTTAAATTTGAGTTGGACTCTCAAAATTATTTAAGTATGCACCTAATGAAAGTTTTTATTAGTAAATTGACTTTTTCTTAAGGAAGCAACTTAAATTTAAAAGGGAGGAGGTTAGTTGTTTCACAAAATAAAGGGAGTTCATAATATGATACTAGTTAGTTAAATTTAGTTGTGGAAAATTAGAAATAATTCTAACAAGCATGATTTAGAGATTTTTGGCAATCAAAATGACATGGAAGAAGTCTATTTTTCGAGGAAAGATTCAAAATTGTTGAAATTTTATTTGATTCAGTTGAAAAAAAAAATTAAGATTAGATCAGATTTTTGGCAAACAAATTTGGTTATGGAAGCCTGTAATTACAAGATCTCAATACAAAGTTTAACAATGCAAATCAACACTTCAATATGTCTTACCTTAGTGCCAATTTATTGGCTTTGTATTTAAACAAGCAACTAGTGACAATTTCTACCTAGTTAATAGATAATAGTTTCTATAACTCTACAACTTTTAGTGAAAAAGAGATTCAACTCAATTGGTGGGGTTTTTATTTTTGTTATTTATGGTTAAGTTCACTTTAATAATTAAATTTAACATAATTATCCGTTTTCTACCAACATATTTTGCATTTCTATCTACAATTAACATATCTATTTTATTGCCTAACTTTAGTTTTGTTATGTTAGCAAATTTATGTTTCTTCTTTCAATTGTGATTCTTTTAAAATTGTTAAGTAGAGATTTTAATTTTATTTCACTTATGTCTAAAGTTAGTTCTTTACTTTTTTTGTCATTTATATATTTAAGTTTAGCCAGATGATTTTATTTTCCCTCTTGTCTCAATCATTTTTACATCTCATTTTTGCTAGCTTTATTTACCCAGAAAGGAAATTGAATGGAGAAACTTCCCATTTGATATGGTTTTCGTTAACTTAAAATTGTATTAACGTGTCTTTAATTAAAAAAATAATTTAAAAATAATAATTATTATTTTTTATAAAATTTTATTATTTAAATAATTAATTTTTTATTTATTTAAAATTATAATATTAAATATATTTATTTATTTAATAATATATAAAAATTATATTAAAAAATTTTATAAAAAAATTATTTTTGTACGACTGCCTTTTAATTAAGGAATAAATTGTGTTGAATGAATGAGTTGACAATTTTTTATTCGACGGGGATTCCAATTGACTTGGTATCATTTTTCTGCCAATCATTGGGAATGCGACCTGCTTTATGGTTATTTGTGAAATCAACCATTGGGATTTGGGACCCTCCATCTTCAAAATTCCAGCAAGACGACGAATCGAGATTTTTTTTTTTGGGCTCGTTTTGAACATGAGATCAATGCAACCGCAAAGACGCCGAATGGCATCATTAAAAAGTGAGGATAAGACGATGGAAATTCAACACTCTCTCTTCCACTCATTTTCTTTTAGTTTACTCTATGAATCTCTCCGACCGTAACTGTTGCATTCGCTGAAGAAGGTGAGCGGAGAAAATGGGGACTTTATACTTCTCCGCTACTTGTTCTCGGTCAAGTTTGTGCTCCAACTTGAGGGAGTTCAACTCCGGAGGGAGAAATTCCAAGTTTTTCCTGCTAAAGTCGCTGCATTTTGGTCAATCAAGGAGAAGCCTATTGATCAGGCGTGTCGCTAGCGATCAGAAGCAGGAATTCAAGGATCCTGTCACCGAAGAAGGTTTGATTTTTGTTCTCTGTTTCTTGTTCGTATTTACGAGTCTGTTCTTCTATAACGTTGTATTGACGAACGGATTTGATATCTGTTCTTGTAAGTTTCTGCTAATTGAACATAATTTTAATTCAAGAATAGTTGAAAAGGTAATGATTTTGATTCCATTGCTGCATTTGTCAAAAATGGCGGTATTGCAACTGTTAATATTAACATGAACGAAATCCCATTTCATATCTAGTATTTTTTTTTTCCTTATAAAAAGCCATGTAGAAAATGGATTACTTAGTCTAAAAACCAATGAATAAGCCAATGAGCTTTTCTTTTTTCCTTTCTTATTTTCCTCTTTAGGTAGATGATGCCATTGATCTCATCCCAACTTTATTTTACTTTTCGTTTTTTTGGAACATCAAACTCTTGTTAGTCCTTTAACTTAGTTGTTACTAGTAATTTGGTCCCCCTGACCACCATTGAATAGTGAACAATGTTTAGATGACAGGCGGATCTCTTATATTTATATAATCTTTCCCATATGTACAGAAGCAATCTAGCCAAATCTACCTCTTTTGGCACATTACTTAGCCAAACTACTATCGACCATAAGCAGTTATGTATCCCATTCCATATGGTGTGGTTTTATGGATATTGTATCCGTCAACATTTTAGATTTATGTGTGATCTGATTTTAAAAAAAAATCCTCATAGAAATATTGATAACTTAATATATAATTGTTGGCGAGATTTGTTTTTCTTTCCTTTAACAGCAAAAAAAAGTTTATTGTCTTTAATAAGGAGGAGCAGACTCCCCTTCATCCTCATAGGATTATAGAATTTTGGGTTCTCTTTTTACTAATTTAGTTATTATTATTATTATTTTAACAAAATAATCATTACTTATCACAAAAGATGATAAATATGGACATGGGTGCTCAGGATTCAGTTAATTGACATGAAAAATAGCTAGGTGTCAATATGTTTCCATTGCCATCATTACATATTCCATATCTATCATTTTGGTCGGACACGTCTTTATAGAACAACTATGTGGGTGCTCTTTGTAGCTGACATGGCTTCAATATATTTTCTTTGTTTTTGATAAAATAGAGAATTTATTAACAAGTAAAAGAGATTACATTACATCTTTATGTTATCTCATTAGAGTTAAAGACAGTGGCATAACCTATAGCACAGTGACAGATTTAAACTATGCCAATGTTGAATTCGGACAGGGCCATTTACGGTTAGAGATTGTGTATGCAATTGTTGTATGGGCATAAACAGGGCTATGACTAAAGTAGACTATGAGCTTAGAATGCTCATGGTTTCAACAGCTTTAAATGTGGTATGTTGCTTCATTTTGCAGCTCTTCTAGACACTTTCGTTCCAGACTCAGCCTCTATTGCATCAAGTATTAAATATCATGCTGAGTTCACACCATCTTTCTCACCAGAACAGTTTGAGCTCCCGAAGGCATTCTATGCAACTGCCGAAAGTGTTCGGGATTCTCTAATCATAAATTGGAATGCTACGTATGAATACTATGAGAAAATGAATGTCAAGCAAGCATATTATCTTTCCATGGAGTATTTACAGGTTTGGCATTAATCTCTATTTTTTCTTGTCAAAGAATAACTTCCAAATTGCATGCTATTGGTTATGATTTGTCATGATTTTGTACAGGGTAGAGCTTTGCTAAATGCAGTTGGTAATTTAGAGCTCACAGGGGCTTATGCAGAAGCTTTAAAGAAGTTGGGGCACAATCTAGAGGATGTAGCTAGACAGGTGAGATGTCTATATGATCCTTCATGTTAATGACCATTCTTCAATGTAGTTCAGTAAAATGTGATTTGGTAAAAGTTTCTCATAAGTTGATCTGTCCTTTCTAGTTCCATTGTGGTGACATAAGCATAAGAATGGAGGGTAGAAAAATATAATGAGAACTTTCTTGAAGTGGTAACTTGTAGATCTTCAACAACACACATCTAAGAAAGACCTGATATAACCAGTAAAACAGGGAAAAGAAATCCTAGCTGAGAGGTCCAAACATAGAAAATTTTCGTTAGTAGTTCAATCTTGTTCTGTATCAATTTTCCACTATGTTATGGTTGAGCTTGGAATTTAACTTTGTCTTTACAGACACACATGATTCAACAATTTTCAAGATTTTTCCAATTTCCCCTTTGAACTTTTCATCAATATATGCACTTATTTTCATTTTCAATTTTATCATTTACAATTGACAGGAACCAGATGCTGCACTTGGAAACGGAGGCTTAGGAAGGCTTGCTTCATGCTTTCTGGACTCTCTGGCAACACTTAACTACCCTGCATGGGGATATGGCCTTAGGTACAAGTATGGCTTGTTCAAACAGCTTATTACAAAAGATGGTCAGGAGGAGGTTGCAGAAAATTGGCTTGAGGTATGGTTGTTACAAGCTTATTATTAGTCAAAATACTTATTATCTATAGAAGAACATGTTTACAATTATTTACATTTTTCAGTACTCTATCTAGCATTAGAGTCCATTTACTTAATACTGATGCATTGATTTTCATTGGATAAATTTATGTGAAACATTTTGTCCTTCATTGATTGACAGATGGGAAATCCATGGGAAATTGTGAGAAATGATGTCACCTATCCTGTGAAATTCTATGGTGAAGTTATTTCAGGGCCAGAAGGAAGCAAACAATGGGTTGGAGGTGAAAATATAAAGGCTGTTGCTTATGACATCCCGATACCCGGATATAAAACCAAAACTGCAAATAACCTTCGACTGTGGTCAACCAAAGTTGCACCAGAAGATTTTGATTTGCGTGCTTTCAATGCTGGCAATCATGCCAAAGCATCAGAAGCAATAAAGAATGCTGAAAAGGTTTTTATCAATTCATATATTTGAATGTATTTGATTCACATGTTTTCATATTTCTCTTCAAATTGTTTATGAGAAATGTGAAAATGCAGCCATACTTTTGATATACACGAAAGCACAATATTGGGTCAAATTGATTGAAATGGGAAGGGTGCATTCAATTTTGGTGATTTGTAGTCCATGTTTGTACAGGTTGTTTGCATCCAGTAGTCTGCATCATTTGTTTTTACAAAAATTTAGTTGTCATAAAAAGTGGTGAACCATTATAATTATAATGTCTCACTTTGTTCAGATTTGTTATATATTGTACCCTGGTGATGAATCAACTGAGGGAAAGACTCTTCGATTGAAACAACAATACACATTATGCTCTGCTTCTCTCCAAGATATTATTTCACACTATGAGAAGAGATCAGGGGAACCTGTGAATTGGGAAAATTTTCCTGAAAAAGTAGCAGTGCAGATGAATGATACTCACCCTACGCTTTGCATCCCAGAGCTAGTAAGGATATTAATGGATGTCAAGGGTTTGAGCTGGGAGAAAGCTTGGAATATTACTCAGAGGTAAATCCTTTCATTTAATCTCTATAAAACACTTTGTTTACACAATTCTGATGTGTTATTTAAGTGCTGATATCTCTCTAGGCCTGAATAGACTAATGAGTTGGTACATGAAATGGTTTCACATATTTTTGTAAAGGTGTAAAATGTTATAAACTTCTCCTTTTAGTAACTGATATTAATTTGGCTTTTTGTTGCAATAGTGGATTTTTTTTTTTTTTTTGACCATTACCTTTCTACCAGAACTATTGCTTACACAAACCACACAGTGCTACCTGAGGCACTGGAGAAATGGAGTTTGGAGCTTATGCAGGAATTGCTTCCTCGACATGTTGAGATCATTAGAATGATTGATGAAGAGGTAGCTCCAAAGATTATTATGGTTAATTAGTTATCAAGGCTCTGCAGAGAATGTAATGTTAATTTATCCTGATTTTTGGAGGCATATCTTACTTAAATGCACCAAATACGGCTTTCTTTCTTTTTATTTATTTTTATTTTTATTTTTATTTTTATTTTTTTTGTGTGTGTTCCAATACATAGACATACATGTCTACATACACATTCATAAAGGAAAGCATATATGCACATTCCCTATCCTAATATTGGCTATTCATTGTGTTTGCCAGCTTATTAAGACTATAGTTGCTGGATATGGCACAGAGGATCTTGACCTTCTGCAAGAAAAGCTTAAACAAATGAGAATTCTAGATAATTTTGAATGGCCTGAGTCAGTAGCTGAATTGTTTGTTAAGCCAGAAGAAAATTCCTCACTTGATCCCATAAAGGAAGAAGATGTTTCTAATGAAGAAATTAAAACTATAAGTGATGAAGACGAACCTGAAGGACAAGACCCTGCGAAGAAAAACGAGGAAACACTTGAACCAGAGTCAACTCCTCCAAAGATGGTCCGAATGGCTAACCTATGTGTTGCTGGTGGATATGCAGTGAATGGTGTTGCTGAGATTCATAGCGAAATTGTGAAAAATGAAGTTTTCAATGATTTCTATGAGGTAACTCTGTGAATTAGCTGCTCTCATTTCAGCAAACTGTGGTGCTGGTAAATTTTTTTACAAGATCCACCACTACAATAAAACATTTCTCTGTGGCAGCTGTGGCCTGAGAAATTTCAAAATAAGACAAATGGGGTGACACCAAGAAGATGGATTCGTTTCTGCAATCCAGACCTGAGTGAGGTCATAACAAGGTGGACTGGAACAGAGGACTGGATCCTTAACACTGAGAAACTGATGATACTCCGGCAGGTACGCTTTCGTAACCAATAAGTCAGAAAATGTTCCATTCAGTGAATCAAAGCTTTCATTCCAACAGACATGGTTTCTTTCCTTGAAGTTTCTGTGCTGCGTAAGGGATGTCAAGCATTCTGTTATAGTTGTGACGTGTTGTTGGCAAATGATGCTTGATACCAGGAAACATCCCTTCTAGTGATAGTCCCACGTTTGCGACTAGTGTTGCTGGATAGGTTTCTTATTTCTGTTTATTTTTTCTGTTGAATGTGCTAGAAACCATATTGAGTTTTATTACTTCTTAATCTTTAACCTGATCTAGACTATGTCTCACAAAACTTTACTTTCCTCAGTCAGACAAAAGCTTTAAATTAGCTCTAGCTAATATTTTAATCGGCATTCAACTCAAGGTCGCATATAGAAATAGAATACAATATCTTTAGACCAACATAAATCAGTTTAAGACTGTTTGTATAGTTTTGACTTTCAAGTTGACCACTGAGTTCCCTTATCCTGATCGCATGCATGATATGTGATATCTTCAAGCTTGTTTTATAGACAACCAACACCGGCTTACTGTAACTGTTATATTCACTTTCTACATGTCACTAACTGGACTAGAGCTGATCTTCTGCAGTTTTCTGATAATGAGAACCTCCAATCTGAATGGAAGGAAGCAAAAAGAAGAAACAAGGTCAAGGTTGCATCATTCCTCAAAGAAAAAACAGGATATGTTGTCAATCCCAACGCAATGTTTGATGTTCAGGTTATTTCCTCTATAAATTCTTCTTTTTCCATTTGTGGTGTATGTAGCTGCATCTACAGCTAAGGAGAAGGCTGCCATATTGGTTTTGCTGAGGGGAAAGGGGGTGGGGGGGGGGGGGAGGGGGGTTGGGGAATGTAGTTTGCAGGTTGACCTAAACCATAAAGCTTGAATTTGGTGAACCATCCAGACTTAAGTAATATATCATTATATCTGGAATTGCAGTAGAGTATGTTCCATACATGGGTCGCACTAAATTGTCAAGATGCTTGATGAGGATAAGGTTCCTGACTAGAGAGTTGAAAGAAAGTTGAACTGTAGGAAAAGATTATGATACCTGATAACAATCTTCTGTTGCCGTTTTCTTAAGCCTTGTTCATTGCATTCATTATTTTGTGTTTTCTAAGTTATGTTATTTTAAAGCTATATGGATCCGATGGTTGGATTTTCAGGTGAAGCGTATTCATGAATACAAACGACAATTATTAAATATTTTGGGAATAGTCTATCGCTATAAGAAAATGAAAGAGATGAACCCTGAGGAAAGAAGAGAAAGCTTTGTTCCTCGGGTATGCATATTTGGTGGAAAAGCATTTGCTACGTACATCCAAGCCAAAAGGATAGTGAAATTTATCACAGACGTAGGGGCTACAGTAAACCATGATCCAGAAATTGGAGATCTGTTGAAGGTGCCATTTTTCTTATAACTTATGTCTATTATTTGATCCAAAAAAATCTCTGTTTTCATTCCCATTTCCAAAATATAACAAGTAAGTTTCCTTTCAGGTAAGTTGTATTATTTCGTTATTCAGTTGCTTGAACTGTCATCTAAAATTCATTGTTAGCAATGAGTGAAGAAAGACCAAATCAAAATCTTTTTCCCCTACACGCCCTACCATTTGATGCATTAGTTGGTAAAATGAGTTTAAGAACATCTGGCAGTTCATATAGTCCCTTTTTTTCCCTAATAAATTTCATATTTGTCCCCTAATTTAAACTGGAAAATTACTCTGCTAGATAGGTAATATATGTATTGTTGAGATATGTTGTAACTAGTTGCTTACATTTTTGTCCTGGTAATTTATTGGCTGCTATCTAATATATAGGGTTAGTACTAAATAATATTAGATTTAGACCCCAGGTGCTTAATCATTGCTAGATGTTAGCTATGATTTTTTGTGATTATGGATCATGAATTTGTGCTTTGTGTCAATGTTAGGTTGTCTTTGTTCCTGATTACAATGTAAGTGTGGCAGAAGTGCTTATTCCTGGCAGTGAGCTTTCTCAGCATATCAGGTATATTTATTTGATTGACAAAGAAAATTACGTTCTCTCTTTATCCAGTTTATTGGTCTTGAATGATCTCCTTGAAGAGAAAGGATTAAAAGCTAGCAATGGAACTTGAAAAGTGCATTCCAAATGATACCTTAAAATTTATTCTCTGAAGAGGCACATAAAAATTTTTATAGGAAGTCCTTACTTTACTTGAATGTGGGGATTAATTATGCATGTTACGGTAAATGGCCAATGACAGAAATCTGTAATGCTTTCTCTTGCAATTTGCATTATGAAATCAGTTTTTCATTATGGCTGTTGCTCACTTTCCTCTTGGTTAGTACTGCTGGAATGGAGGCCAGTGGAACTAGCAATATGAAGTTTGCAATGAATGGTTGTGTCTTGATTGGCACATTAGATGGAGCAAATGTTGAAATAAGACAAGAAGTTGGAGAGGATAACTTCTTCCTCTTTGGTGCACGGGCTCATGAAATTGCAGGCCTGAGGAAAGAAAGAGCTGAGGGAAAGGTGAGATTGTTATATCAGTTACTTCTTCGTAGTTCCAATCTTTTTATTTTTTTTATTTTTTTTTCTTTTTTGTTTTCTTCTTTTATAATTATTTTGTGTAAACTGGGAATGACCTGTATTCAAACATTTTGCTAGAGTAATGAAATCATTTCCTTATAAAGCACATATAACTAAATTTGAGAAGAAAGCAGTGAAGGTTATCACAGTCACAGTTTAGTTTATATCTTTTATCTCATTGCAGTTCATTCCAGACCCCCACTTTGAAGAAGTCAAGGCATATGTCAGAAGTGGTGTTTTTGGTCCCTACAACTATGAAGAGCTGATGGGATCCTTGGAAGGAAATGAAGGTTATGGTCGTGCGGATTATTTCCTTGTAGGCAAGGACTTCCCCAGCTACCTAGAGTGCCAGGCGAAGGTTGACGAGGCCTATCGAGACCAAAAAGTGAGTAGCAACTACTAATTTACCATGGGTTTTGCTTGGTTTGAGTGAGTGACTATTCCTTAGTCAAACTATAAAAAGAAACAAAGTTGAGAAACTAGGCTTAGCTTAGCGTTAATATTGATAATTTTAGGAAAGAAGTCATGAAAAGCCATTTTTTAAGTGGGGGCGGTATTGACTATCCTTTATTCATCCTTTAATTTAGTAGAACTGATTAATTTTAAGGCTTGGTTAATCCAGGCATTTTTAAGGAAGTTTTTCAATTGTGCCCAATTTCTAGAGTTTGACCAATTAATTGCCACTTCCTCACTCCAAACATGACCCAAGTGCTTTGTGTGTATCTGAGGTTGTCCTATGTATCAGTGACAAATCTTTTATCTCATTGAACACATTCTACAAATTCTAAAAGTTTACTTACCGATAGCTAGGATTCTTTTAGCCAATTTTTAGTCCATTCTTTCTCAAAGTAAATAGTTAACACATACATGAATCACAACATGGTCATGCACTAATGTTGAAAGGTGGGAGGTGCCTTGGGGTTGCTGCATTCATAACAAGCATGTCAATTTTAAAATGTACTCAGCCATACCAGGACTTGCTCTGGCCATTTCCTACATTTTGCTGTGCTACTCCATGTGCATAAAAATATAGGAATGTATGGAAACTATTGCTAACTTCTAATCAGGAATTCAGAATCGTACATAATGTGCTTGCATGTCTGTTTAAACATGTTTGTTTTTTTTTTTATAGACACGCCTGGTACCATAATTATATTACTAGAATTGATGTATCTGACTAAATTTATTTGGGACAGAGATGGATGAAAATGTCAATTTTGAACACTGCTGGATCATACAAGTTCAGCAGTGACCGCACTATCCATGAATATGCTAGAGACATATGGAGGATTGAACCTGTGGTGCTACCGTGATTACTCTTTGTAATTCTCCTCCTGGGAATACATGCAAATTGTAGTCAAGTATGATCTCTTTGTCCCCTCTCATGTATAAAAATTAAACACTTTCAGTAATAGAGGTTCAGTCGCATACCACCAACAACCTGTATTGTTTGGAAACAGCAAAGGGGCTAAATAGGCCAGAATGAGTGGGAAGTACATAATGGAGCTGAACTTAGATCTCCCATATATATATAACTGATATAATTGGAGTGTGCAACATTTCTTCCAAAAGATTATACATTTACTAAAATTGCTGCTACTCATGGCAAAGGACCTGCTTCTTATGCTTGCACAAAATTGGAAATGGTATATTCAATCTTCTGCAAATTACACACACGCTGGTCACACGCTAGTATAACAATTCTTATTGTCTTTGTGGATTACCAGTGAAAAGAATGAATAGAATGAAGGCAGCGTATTCCTTTTTTGTTATTATGAAGATCCGCTGCATTGTATTTTCTTTGGAAGCAACTCTACTAGAATGGCTCCTTGACATTAGTGTAACTCACTTTAGGGATAAGCACATTTGAGTATAAGCCTGGAAGCATTTATAACTTTAAGAATGGTCCTTTTAATTTCTACTTCCATCCCTACCATTTTCCTTTCACAAAAGGGGTGAATGACTCTGAAACATCAGGCTGATACTTTTGTCCCCATCAGTTCACTTCAGACCACTAGTCATGAATCCCATCCGTTTCTTTAATGTCAAATTGTCAATCCCATCTATTTCTTGGTATCTATATATGCAGTTAGGTACCAATCTCCTCGAGAAGAAACTTTCACTAATTAAAAAGGGTTTTACTTTTATGAAGAAATAACTGTTCTGGGATTGGCCCCATTTCATTATTAACCGTACCTTTTCAATTATTTTAGTTTTGATGTAGAATAAAGTCAGTTGATTCGTTTGAGCCCACCACAAGATATGGATCGTGTAAAGACTTGGAAGGAAGAAGGGTTAAACCTAAATCAAAGGATTTTAGTATTTAAATGGCATTGCTCCTCTGTGAATCCCGTAGTTATATATGCGGATACCTTTCAAAATTCTGTTAGAACCTTGAAAATGTGTGTTTCCCATTTTGAAAGGAGAATTTGAAACCAGCTTAAGATTCGAATGATATATTATATGCATGTATGATTAAATACTTTGGAATAAGAACTTTTTAAAAGTTGCTTTCGAAGCTCATCTTCTCAATTTGGCGTAAATATGAATAAAGTCCCTAAGAGTAAGACCTAGAGTCCGTTTAAAGTCTGGGCAGTGCAACTAACATCTTCTTTAGAGAGTGAAAAGCCAAGTTTGTAGCTTTAATTCTTTGCTTGTTAGATGTTGTGGCAATTTGCTCTCCCTCTCCCTCTAATCAAAGTTAGGTATGGCCCCGAATCCGGTCCATTTGTGCTCCAAGAAGGCTAAAATCAATATTCTGAAAACAAAGCTGAGGATTCATGGGAACACTCTGTGAATCTGGGTATATTTTCTTCAAAAGTATTGTAGCATATAATTATATATAAGCATAAAAGTGTTTACATCCATATCACATCCATATCACATCCACATCGAAGAGGACTAGCATTTTTTTTTTCTGTCAGTCCAGACTAGGATAATTGCAAGTGATTTTAAATTTGATATGAATGCATAGCTAACTTTTAAAATCTTCATTCTAAAACGAAGGTAAATTAAGGGTTTGAATATGTGTTTTTGTTTTTTTTATCCACTTACATATAAATCATATATAGTAAAATCATATATAGTATACTTATATAAAATTTTAATAATTCATTTTTATATTTTCAATAATTGAGATTTATCATAATTTTTTAGATGAAAAAGATAATTATATTTAATAAATATGATAAAAAGTAAATAAATATCAACTATTGAAAGT